ACAGCTGAATCACGAGAAAAACATCAGAAAACCAAAACTGAGGGACATTCTACAAACTACATGACCAGGACTCCTCAAAACTCTCAAGGTCACCAAAAAGGACAGCCTGAGAAACTGTCACTGCCTAAAAGAGCCCAAGGGGACATGAAGACTCAAAGTAATGTGTGATTCTGAGACAGAATAAGGCCATCAGATAAAAACCAATGAGTTCCGAATAAAGTACACAGTGTAGTGAATGAACTAAATACACAAACACAAATGAGTAGAAGTAAAAGCGGGGAAATCTGAACGAGACGGTGGATTTTTATGAGACTGTACCAACGTCAATATCCTGGTGGTAATTGTAATCCATTTCTGCAAGAAGTCACCCTTAGGGGAATGGGGAAAGATACACAGGATTACTCTATTTTCTTACACTAGTATGTCAATCTATAGCGACCTCAAAATTAAAACCTTAAACAGAAAAATGTTTACATTTTAGATCTTTTACTTAGACCCCACTTAGTAGGAACGGTGTAATGTGTTGTTGTGATGATTTGAAAAAGCCAGTTCACTATAAAGTCAAAAGTACACTCCTCAAATAAACGAAGTTTAAAAGTCTTTTAAAATAGCACATATCATCCTAGCACTGTGGGAGGCCACGGTGAACCTCCTAAGGCCAGAAGCTCAAGACCAGCCTGGGCAACATAGGGAGACCCAATTTTTATTTTTTATAAATAAATAAATAAATAATAAAATACAATAGCACATATCAGGAAAATGATCTAAACTATTAAAAACAAGTAATGAGAGCTGTCTACAATGTGCTCACCACCATCCCAGCACCTGGCTGAGCCAGTAAAGACTAACTGAGGCATTGTTGGATGGCTGGGAGGGATGGTTCAGGCCTGTAATCCCAGCACTTTGGGAGGCCAAGGCAAGAGGATCGCTTAGCTCAGAAGTTCCAGACCAGCCTGGGCAACATGGCAAAACTCATTACTACCAAAAATACAAAAATTAGCCAGGTGCGGTGGTGCATGCCTGTAGTCACAGCTACCTGGGAGGCTGAGGCAGGAGGATCACTGGAGCCCAGGAAGTCGAGGCTGCATTGAGCCATGATCATACCACTGCACTCTAGCCTGAAAGACAGATCCTGTCTCAAAAAAAAAAGTAAATACAAAAAAAATTAAAAAATTAAAAATTGTGTTTTGAGAACACAGTGCTATAAAATTTTAGATTCAAAGAGAGAAATGATTTTAAATATATTACCTGTTCTCTGGCCAGGCATGGTGGCTCATGCCTGTAATCCCAGCACTTTGGGAGGCCAAGATGGACAGATCACCTGAGGTCGGGAGTTTGAGACCAGCTTGACCAACATGGAGAAACCCCGTCTCTACTAAAAATACAAAATTAGCTGGGCGTGGTGGCGTATGCCTGTAATCCCAGCTACTTGGGAGGCTGAAGCAGGATAATCACTTGAACCCAGGAGGCAGAGGCTGCGGGGAGCCAAGATCGCACCATTGCACTACAGCCTGGGAAAAAAGAGCAAAACTCCATCTCAAAAAAAAAGAGTTTTACTCCAATTCAAGCTTCTTTTGGACAGAAACTTATCAAGCCTGGTCATGTGTTTGTCATGTTCTGCCTATTAAAAGAAAAATCAAGCCGGGCACGGTGGCTCACACCTGTAATCCCAGCACTTTGGGAGGCCGAGACGGGCGGATCATGAGGTCAGGAGATCGAGACCATCCTGGCTAACACGGTGAAACCCCGTCTCTACTAAAAAATACAAAAAAACTAGCCAGGCACGGTGGCAGGCGCCTGTAGTCCCAGCTACTCGGGAGGCTGAGGCAGGAGAATGGCGTAAACCCGGGAGGCGGAGCTTGCAGTGAGCTGAGATCTGGACAGAGCGAGACTCCGTCTCAAAAAAAAAAAAAAAAAAAAAAAATCAAAGTTTGGGTACAAATTCCATAACCCACCTGTCCTTAGATAACAAAACTCGTAATTCCTATTCATTCAGGGATTCATTTCTAGTTAAACTGTACCTAAGATGTCAATCTCAAAAAGTACCTTTGTTTGTTTACAAAGATTATAATTCAAGTTGAGGTTTGTTTTGAGATAGGTTTTGTTGCCTAGGCTGGAGTACAGTGGCACAATCATCAGCTTAAAGTACTTTTACAGTCAAGTTCACATCATTAAAACCAAAAATATGGCTGGGCTCAGTGGCTCTGGCCTGTAATCCCAACACTTTGGGAGACAGGAGGATGGCTTGAGTCCAGGAGTTCAAGACCAGCCTGTGCAATATAGTGAGACACTGTCTCTACAAAAAGTAAAAAAACATTAGCCGGGCATGGTGACACACGCCTGTAGTCCCAGCTACTCAGGAGAGGCTGGAGTCCAGTAGCCTGAGGCTGCAGTGATCACTGATCAGACCACTGCACTCCAGCCTGGGTCACAGAGCAAGGCTCTGCCTCTACAAAAAAATGATTTTTAATAAAATAAAATTTAAAAAACAAAACTGTCCTAAGCTTACAGATCTGATGGGAATCCTATGCAGGTTGTCCAACTGTTAACCACCAGGTGTGTTAAACTATTTCTCAAACCAACTCTTGCTTAACTGGGCCACTAGAGAGTGCTAGAAACGCAGTACACGGCTCGTGAAGTGATACAGTAAGTCAGTCCCAAAAGGATGGAGGTCTTAAGCGCTCCTTGCTGGCACACTGCCAACTGGCACTGCAACAGCCTCCACCTGAATTTTGAAAACGGTTTTTAATATCCGTCTACAGCTCAACTTCTAACAGGTAAATAACATACACGTGGCTCAACAGTTTTGAAACTACGCAACTGACATCTGAAATTAAAAGATTAATCAGAGCCATAAGTAACGCAAAAAAAATTAAAAGTAATTCTTTCCTTTAGGAAATTAGGCAAAGTTAGTTAATGATGGTTTAAACTTGACTCCTTCAGCTTTGTTAAAAAATACCGGGGGGGGGGGGGGGGGAAGAAAGGGAGAGGGAGGGACGGAAGGGAAAAAGAAAAGGAGGAGGGAGAGAGGAAGAGTGGGGCATTCCCCACTTCATCCAAAGTACAAACTAATCTTGGGAGCGTCACGTCCCAATCCAGACACTACCGACCCCAGAGTGGCAATAGGACATTCACCTGTAGAAGGCTGGCTTCAACCAGGTCTTTTTTTTTTTTTTTCAGACGGGGTCTTGCTCTGTCACCCAAGCTGGAGTGCAGTGGACCGATCACCACTCACTGTAACTTCCACCTCCCGCGTTCAAGTGATTCTCCTGCCTCACTCTCTCGAGTAGCTGGGATTACAGGCGCCCGCCACCACACCCGGCTAATTTTTGTATTTCTAGTAGAGACAAGGTTTCACCATGTTGGCCAGGCTGGTCTCGAACTCCTGACCTCGTGATCTGCCTGCCTCAGCCTCCCCAAGTGCTGGGATTACAGGTGTGAGCCACCGCGCCACGCCTGGCCATCTTTTCTTCAAGACACACAATTCTACTAGCAAGACTCTAACTCCGATCCTAACAGAAAGGTTTTATCTCTGATTTTAGTTCATCTAGACATAGTGCTTCCCGATAACGTTACAGATAAAAAAAATTTTGAGTCCGGGCGCGGTGGCTTACGCCTGTAATCCCAATACTTTGGGAGGCCGAGGCGGGTGGATCACCTGAGGTCAGGAGTTGGAGACCAGCCTGGCCAACATGGTGAAACCCCGTCTCTAGTAAAAATACAAAAATTAGCCGGGCGTGGTGGCAGGAGCCTGTAATCCCAGCTACTCTGGAGGCTGAGGCAGGAGAATCGCTTCAACCCCGGAGGCGGAGGTTGCAGTGAGCTGAGATCGCGCCACTGCACTCCAGCCTGGGGAACGAGAGCGAGACTTCGTCTCAAAAAAAAAATTTTTTTTTTGAGTTGCTGCTTAATATACCCTACAATCTCAGCAGGCCTGTTGGTATTCCCATAAAAAAAAAAAAAAGCCACTCAAAGTAGAAACTGCCCTCACAACTCCCAATCTCGGACTGTAATCTACAAAAGCGCGTGAAACTGTAAAAATAAAGTTTACTCACATAGAAGAATCATGTTACGTTCTGATTTCCAAATCCTTAGCAGGCCTAACTGCTGGACGCCAAGACCGGGCTCCCGAAGGGGACTCGTTCCTGGCTAAGGCTTCCCACAACACACGGCGCGCTTCCAAGTCCACGCCTCGGCCGCAACGCAAACCCGGGCCGCGGCTCCGCACCCACAGGCTCGCTCCAGCCCCAGTACCTGCCGCTCTCCACCTCCAGTTCCCCGCGGGCCCCAAGGCAGCAGCGAAGCTGCCGTCCAGCGTCCCCCAACCCGCCCCCTGCCCCAGCTCCCGTCCAAGGTCGCTCCCGGCGGCGGGTGATCGCTACAGACCAACGCCCAGACCCCGACGGCAGCCCCCACCCTTTACTCATTTTTTTGAAATATTTCTTTCTCTACACCCCCATCCAGCCCCGAACCCTCTGGAACCAGGAGAGTTCCCGCAGGGACCTCTCGCACGAACGACCGGGACCGCCCACTGAAATCCCAAGCTCCCCAGGCAGCCGGGCAGGAGAACACCGCCCCCCGCCCGGAAGCACTCGCCCCTCCCCGGCCAAGAAGGATAAGGGAGGGGGAAGGCGGAGAGAGAGGAGGGGGAGGGGAGAGAGGAGGGGGAGGGGAGAGAGGAGGGGGAGGGAAGAGAAAGGAGGGGGAGGGAAGAGAAAGGAGGGGGAGGGTAAGGAAAGACGGGGGAAGGGGACAGAGGCGAAGGATGGGAGGAGGAAGATGAGGAGGTGGGGGAAGGGAGGGAGTTGAAAGGGGGAAGAAGGGGGAGACGGAAAGGAGGGAGAAGGGGTAAAGAGAAGAGAGAGCAGAAAGGGGAAGAGGAGGAAGGACAGGGAAAGGCAAGGGGGAAAGGGAAGGGGGAAGGAAAAGGGCCCCTCCCCCGGCCGGCCTCAGGAGGCAGGAGGCCGCGAGCCCGCCCCGGGGTGGGCTGCCGGGCGCACCTTGCGCTTGCGGGCCTCAGCCGTGCCGCTCCACACGAAGCACTGGTAGATGGCCCGCAGGTTCTGCTTCCAGTTGTCCACTTTGAAGCTGCCCAGGTGCGAGCAGCCCGGCGGCGCTACCGCCAGTTCGGCGTCCATGGCCTCGCCCTCGGGCTCTGGCCGGGATACCATGGGGGGCAAGGCCCGGCCGCGCGCTGGGGGCGGCGGCGAGGGGGGCGAGGACGACGCCAGCGCGGCGTAGGGGCTGCTCGGCGGCGGGCCTGGCCGGCCAAGGCACGGGCGCCGAGAACAAAGCGCGGAGGCCAGACAAAGATGGGTCTGCGCGATCGCGGAGGGGAGGCTGCGGGGCAGGCACCGCCCCCGAGCTGCGGCTGCTGCTGGCCGCCCGCGCTGCGCTCTCCCGGTTCGCGGAGGGCGTCGCGGGGCGGGGCGCCGCGGCCGCGGACGGAGATTACGTCACCCCCGGCCGGCACCGCACTGCGCAGTCTCCGGCCCGCGCCAGGCCCTTACCCCCTCTCGCGCGCCCGTAGGCTCTGGGTAGACCGGAGCCCAAGGAAGCGTGGTGGGGCGAGGGGAAGCTAATGAGAGCCCGCCCCTTCCCTTCCTCTATTGGTCGCCGGCCACCCCCCAGCATCTTCGGCCATTTTCATAGGCTCTCAGTACAGTCCGTCTGGCGACCAGACGTTCCCTGTCTCTTCCATCGGACTAGGGAGGCGGGGGCGTGCTGCGGTTGGGCGGCGCGAGGCGTCTGTCCTAGCACTGAACCGGTTTGCGCCGGCCTGAGCTCTGCCGCAAAGAGGCGGGGCGACGAGCTGGAACCCTGCAGGTCGGGCCTCCATCCAGGGCCTGCGCTTTCCCACCCAACAGCATCCCCTGTTCGGGCGCTGTCTGCAGGGCCCCCGGTTGCCGTAACCTGGGTCGGGCCCTGCAGTGCCGTGGCTCGGGGCTGGAACTGCCAACTGCCTGCTCCGCGCCGCTCCCTGCCTCAAGCTGCGGCACCTCCTGTCGGGAGCCCGCGGATAGCGAGGGCCACCCCGGCGCCATCCAGTTGAAAGAAGATGCACGCCACACGCCTGACACTTCGCATTTGCTGGTGGCTACGTTTTTCTAATGAAAAGAAAGTTAAATATAGTAATATATCTTAACCCAATAGGGTCAAAATATTTCAACATGTACGCAGTATTGCAAAAATCGTTAGTGGAATATTTTACAGTTTTTGCAAGTCTTCGAAATCTGGTATTTACACAACAGCACATCCAATTCCTACTAGCTGCTACCGCAGTGGGCTGCACAGGTCTAATCGGTATACAAATAACTGACCCAAGGCAAACTGAAAAGACCTTTAAAGACGAATGCAAACAATGTTCTGGGAGAGCCAGGGCGCCAAGAATCTGGGGAACTTGGATGAGGTGTGAGGCGTGGTGCTGCTCCCTGGTACTCCTCCCACTGCTGCTTTGCTCATTCATCCACAGATTGCAAGAAACAGCAATTGCCATCCAGAGCCATCCCAAGTTAAAAAATAAAGATTGTGATCTCACAACACTTAAAGCTACAGGGTTTAATGGGCTGACGACTGGAATAAAGTTTTTGTGGCCAAGATAAATTGCCTAGCACAGGTTTTTGCCTCATGGCCTTTGTGCTTGTAGTACCCTCTGCCTAAAATGTTTTCCCCACCCCCTTATCCCCCCCGCCCCGCATCCTTATATTCCATGGCTGATCGCTCACCTCCTTCCAGCGTTATCACACACCTCCTTTTCCGTGAGGACTTCCACTGCCACCCTAATGAAAATTGCAAGCCCCCCAAAATTCTCCATTCCCTTACCCTGCTTCGTTTTTCTCCAAAGAATTTATCACTATCTGGCGTAATGAATATTTACTTTTTTTTTTAATTGTTTCTTCCCTTAGTAGCATGAAAAATTCCAAGAAGGTAATGATTTTTTTCTTTTTTTTTTTTGAGACAGAGTCTCGCTCTGTTGCCCAAGGCTGGAGTACAGTGGTGCAATCTCAGCTCACTGAAACCTCTGCCTCCCAGATTCAAGCGATTCTCCTGTCTCAGCCTCCCCAGTAGCTGGCATTACAGGTGCCTGCCACCACACCCGGCTAATTTTTGCATTTTTAGTAGAGAGGGGCTTTCACCATGTTGGTCTGGAACTGTCACTAGAGATGGGATTTTTCCAGGCTGGTCTTGAACTTCTGACCGCAAGTGGTCCACCTGGCTCAGCTTCCCAAAGTGCTGAGATTACAGGCGTGAGCCACGGCGCCCGGCCTCCAAGAGGGTAATGATATTTTCATGTTTTATTTACTACTACAGCCGCAGGTTCCCAGAACTGTATTGGCTATGTGCAGGTACCTAAAATTACCTGGTGAAGCCCTGTAGTAGTCTCACTGAAAAGTGAGAATAGATTCAGAGACAGGAAGCCCCAGAATCTATGCATAAACTACATCCAGGGGTCCGCTTGACCACCAAACCACTCCTATGGGGTAAATTCCAAGCAGCCAAACCAGAACAAAAAGAAGTGAGCAGAGATGTAAGCTACTAGTCAAGAAACCACTAAAATACCAGTAATTGCCTGCTAAAACAAAAATATTAACTGTCTTTGGAGGTATATAACAAAATTCATATTTTCAACAACATAACAGTAGTAATGTCCAGGATATGATCCAAAATTATTATTATTATTATTATTATTATTTTGAGATGGTGTTTTGCTCTTGTTGCCTAGGCTGGAGCGCAGTGGCGCAATCTTGGCTCACTGCAACCTCCACCTCCCAGGTTCAAGCAATTCTCCTGCCCCAGCCTCCCGAGTAGCTGGGACTACAGGCATGCTCCACCACATCTGGCCAATTTTGTATTTTTTAGTAGAGATGGGGTTTCTCCATGTTGGTCAGGCTGGTATCGAACTCCCAACCTCAGGGGATCCACCCACCTCAGCCTCCCAAAGTGCTGGTTACAGGCATGAGCCACTGCGCCCAGCCCAAAATTATTTGACATATGAAGAAACAGGAAAATGTGCCCTTTTCTAAGAAATAAAACAGCAAAAATGACCAACCATAAGGTTTGTCAGATATTGAAATTAGTATATGAGGAATTCAAAGCAGCTATGGTAACTGTGCACAATGAGGTAAAGGAAAGTATGTCTAAAATGAATGAAAAGATGGAAAATAGCAATGAAGGCCAGGTGCAGTAGTTCACACCTGTAATCCCAGCACTTGGGGAGGCTGAGACAGCAGGATAGCTTGAGGCCAGGAGTTCAAGACCAGCCTAGGCAACATAGTGAGACTCTGTCTCTACAAAAAACAAATTCCAACCTGGATAACATGATGAAACTCTGTCTCTACAAAAAAAAAATTGAGCTGCATGTGGTGGCACACAACTGTAATCCCAGCTACTTGGGTAGCTGAGGTGGGAGGATCACTTGAGCCCAGGAGTTGGAGGCTGCAGTGAGCCGTGATTGCACCACTGCGTTCCAGCCTGGGCAACAGAGCCAGACCCTGTCTCAAAAAAATATATATATATAGCAGTGAAATGAAAACTGAAAACTACAGAAGAACCAAATAGAAATCCTGGAACTGAAATATCAATATCTGCAATAAAAAGGTCACCAAATGTGCTTAAAGGCAGAATGGAAATGACATAAGAACAAAGCAAAAAAAATAGTTGGTAAGAAAAAAAGAACAAAGTCTCAGAAACTGTAGGGCAATATCAAAGGCCAAGCATATGTGTAATTCAAGTCCTGGAGGGAAAGGTGGAAGAATGAGAGAGAAAAAAATATCTGAAGGTATACTGGCAGACATTTTCCCAAGTTTGCTGAAAGATGCAAATTTACAGATTCAAAAATGCCATTGAATTCCAAGTAGGATCAATGAGAAAAAAATGCATATAAGCCCATTATAGTTTAACTGCTGAAAACAAATAGTAAAGAGCAAATTTTGACAGAAGCCACAGGAAAATAAGATATTATTTAAAGGGAACAATGGCTTTTTTCTTATCAAGAAAATAAGAGGGCTGGGCACAGTGATTCAAGCCTGCAATCCCAGCACTTTAGGAGGCTGAGGCGGGTGGATTGCCTGAGGTCAGGAGTTCAAGAACAGCCTGGTCAACATGGTGAAACCCTGTCTCTACTAAAAAATACAAAAAAAAATTAGCCAGGCATGGTGGCATGTGCCTGTAATCCCAGCTACTTGGGAGGCTGAGGCAGGAGATAGCTTGAACCCACGAGGCAGAGGTTGCAGTGAGCCGAGATCACGCCACTGCATTCCATCCAGCCTGGGTGACAGAGCGAGACTCCATCTCAAAAAAAAAAAAAAAAAAAGAGGAAGAGTTGCGCTAAAATCTCAGAAACCACCACTAAAGAACTTGTTCAACTGATTCATATAGCCAAACACCACCTGTTTCCCAAAAATCTATTGAAATGAAAGAAAATAAGAGAACAGTGGGTGCCACATGGCAGTGGAACAGTATTTTGAAAGTGTTGAAAGACAAAAATTGTCAACACCTATTTCTATATGTAATGAAAATATCCATCAGTGATAAGGATAAATAAATTTCACATAAAATAAATTTAAGAGAATTTTTCTCCAGCAAATCTGTACTACAAGAAATGAGGGCTGGGTGCAGTGGCTCATACCTGTAATCCCAGCATTTTGGGAGGCCGAAGTGGGCAGATCACTTGAACTCGGAGTTTGAGACCAGCCTAAGCAACATAGCAAAAACCCTACCCAACAAAAAATACAAAAATTAGCTGGGCATGGTGGCTTGTACCTGTCGTCCCAACTACTCAAGAGGCTGAGATGGAAGAATCACTTGAACCTGGGAGATGGAGGTTGCAATGAGCCGAGATCACGCCACTGCATTCCAGCTCGGATGACAGAGCGAGACTCCGTCTCAGAGAGAAAAAAAAAAAAAGAGAGAAGGAAGTTCTATGGGCCAAAGGGGAAAAGTACCAGATGGAGACTTGGATATTCAAGGCATGAAATGAAGAGCATCAGAATACATATGATTATTTAAAGCAAAAATCATAACATTGTTTCCAAGGATTTATAATATATGCATAGATACAATGCATATGATAGCTATTACACAAGGGACAGGAAGGAGTGTAAATGGACTTATAAGGTTCTAAGATTTTCATATTTTATGTGAAGAGCTACAATATTAAATTTAAATAGATTATGAAAAGACAAAGGTTGATGTTATAATCCCTAGAACAGCCACTTTTAGGTGTAACTGAAATTTTTTTTTTTTTTTTTGAGACAGGATTTCACTCTGTTACCTAGGCTGGAGTGCAGTGGCAGGATCTTGGCTCACTATAACCTCTGTCTCCCAGGCTCAAGTGATCCTCCCACCTCAGCCTCCTGAGTAGGTGGGACTACAGGCACGTGCCACCACCCCAGCTAATTTTTTGTATTTTTTGTAGAGACAGGGTCTC